TATTTTCTAAAGACAATCCGTTTGTTAAGTTAGTTAGAAGCCACTTAAAGGAAAAGATTTTGGTATCTAGAAATGATTCTTTCACACTAGCTAGTATAATAGAATATCTAGTTTCTCCTGTAGAGAGTAGAAAAATGTATACATGGGGCGGTATTTTTTTTTATCTGAGAATATGCATTCCTCTTGGACTAGCTAGCCATAGTGATGATATTTTGAGTATCTTGCTGACTTTTATAGACCTGGAGAATGTGCTAGAAAAGGATATTTTTATACAAAATGCTAAGCTTTCTGGTGACTTTAAATTTTCAAAGTTCAAATATTTTAGTTCCGTAAGAAGAATCAATCTAGAAAATGTGTCTCTGCACTCAAACACTTTTAAAGACATGGAGTTCCTCAAAGCACTCAAAGATTTAAGATTCTCTCTAAAGACAAAGCTAGAAGGGAATACAGATGTAAAAGTTAATATAGCCAGTTTAGAATCTTTAACAATAACAGAACTCGAGGAAGAAGAGATTAAGCATTTCCTGCGCTCTACAGACGATAAGTGCTGTCCTCCCAGATTATCAGTTAAAAATGTAAATTTATCTGATACTGAAGAATTTTCTAGATTGTCATATCTGTCTTCTCTTATTACATTAAATTTGTGTGAAATAGTGTTTAAAGAAGTGCCTGACTTTACTTTCATCAAGAAAACTAAGGCAATGAAGTATTTAGGAATGCTAGATATATTCTATGGGTATGCCGAGAAGTACGAAGAAAGCTCATTCTCACAAATTAGAAAAAATGTAAACTACTTAAATCAAAGCCAAACTCAAAAAAAGTATGATACATACTCCGAAAAAGAAAAGAAGATTATTGAAGAAAATAGAAAGATAGGAGAGGCCATTAGCATAGAATGGATTGATGTAAATAAGAATCTTTATCACGACTTGGGAATTAGTAATCTCCGAACAGATGAACAAGCTACTATACACCTTATATTCCCTTTTCTTAAAGGCAATAACTTTATTCTTGTAGATTCATATAATATACAATTCTTTTTAGGCTTTGATCAAGAGTATATATTTATTTCAAGCCATTTAAACTCTAAAAGGCTGGAAAAGGAATGTATTCCTATTATCAGCAGTTTGGAGCTTCCTTTTAGCTCCTGTAGAAGCGTTAAAAACATACATCTATACTTCTATCACGAAAATGAAGTACCTGAGGAATTTACAAGCATTCTTATGAAATCAACTTATGTATATTCACAATCTAGCAATATCGAAAGAATGAATATTAAGCCAGCACATAAAGCCACTATAGACATGAATGCTATTATTGAGTGTGGTAAACATTTTAAAAAACTAAGATCAATAGATATTGAAAATTGCGAAGTATCACAAACATCCATCAAAAGCTCAAACGAAATAGGAGTAGACAATACACCTGAATACGAAGTAAGTAAAATCGGCAAAGGAACATATATATATTTCATCAGAAATCCTTAAAAAGCTCTGATCTATCTCGGTACTACTACTTTACACTAGAGATTCATGCTCATTTTGATATAAAACTCACCACCCATGAACCTTGTTCCTATTTAGCCAATTTCTAGCTATATACACTAAAAATAACTGCTAAATTGGCCAGCTCAGAGTTTAGCAAGCTCCATAAAAAGTTTGCACTTCAATAAATCATCAAGCATTCTCTCAGAATAGAATTATAGCCAAGAAAGCTGCTAAAAATAAAATAGACACAATGGCTTTATTTAATTTCCACAAAGAGCATCTTCAGTGTAGAAAATGAATGAAGAAACAGTGAAATATCTTAATAGTATTCATCAAGCAGTTACTCTCATTCATCTGTCATTTAGACATAAAAAGCCCATAGTTCATAATTAAGCATTATTCACTACCATGAACATTTATTTTCCAAAACTAGTTGTTGTTCTTGTACTCTGGCTTCAGCTCGTACATGTTCCTGTGCGTTTTTTTGTTGAGCGTTGCAATGTTTGCTAGCAGCTCCAGAATGTACGCCTGCGGCTGTCCTGATCTGTCAGCTAAGTCTTTAACAGACCAGTACGGGTACTCCTCAAACGCTCTGAAGAGAATGTCCATAACCTCGGACTGATCGAGTCTTTCTCTCTTTTTCTCCATGAGCATCTTTTTTCTCTTGCGCGCCATGACATCGTGCTCCGTGGCACCGTATCTTTCCATTCTTATGCCGTCCTTCAGACTGTCAACTGCCTTAACATCTTTTTTCACATTGAGAACTGCTGCGCGCTCCTTCTTGTACTTCAGATACTCTGGGGTGATCTTTGGCTTGATGTACACCTCGTCAGTCACCACGCCATCGATGAACGCACCGTGTGGCTTCTGGACAAAAGTGAACATTCCCGTTTTTTCTTCGAGGGGGGCAAGTATCCACTCTCTTGGGAAGTTCTGCGGCCCAAACTGCGCGCTTATCTTCAGCACGTTGCTCTCCCCCACCTCTTCGATGACTCCTATCTCCACGGCCTCCCCGTACTCTTCCAGATACTCTTCAAGAATTCTCGGCGCTTTAACCAAAGTGACCCGCGTGTGTCTTCTCTCTCCCATAAATAAATTTATTAAAGTCATTACTTTATTTAAACCGTGCTGAATAGCTCAAAGTACGGGTTGATTGCTGCAACTGCGCTGGGCTCTGATTTTGTTTTGCCCATCACCAAATCTGGCTTTTTATCGAAGAGTGCTCTCACTTCCTCTGACTCGAGAATGACTCTGAAGTCTGGGCAGCTGAGCTTTGACTCTGGGAGCTTGTATCCGGTCTTCACTGCTACTCTGCCGTCGTCTCCGAATAGCTCTCTCAGTCTCTCAAAGGCTCCTTCAGTCCACATTACAAGTCTTCCCAAGTGGCCTCCTGGGGCCAGCTGCAGGATGTCAAGGCTGTCTACCTGCATGAGGTCTACTCCTGGAATGTTTCTGAATGCTCTGGTGAGTCCCTTGTCCTCAGCGTATATGATAAGGAAGCCCTTTCTCATCACCCATCTTCTGTTTCTTGCCTTTCCTTTTCCTTTTCTAATGTTTTTGCTCTTTTTTACTCTTTCTATTTCGCTGGTCAGAGAGAAGTTCCCGATGATGCTGAGTGCCTCCTTTGCTGTTTTCACTGACTCGAGGCTGTTTTCAACGACCATTGGGATGCTCTTGAGCTCGGAGATCAAGTGTCCTCTGCTTTCTACCAAGGCTGCGGATGCTGTTGCTGCAACGGCCATTGCTGCTGCGTGTCTTCTGGTTGTTTTGTTTGTCTTTCTGTTCCATCTTCTCAGAATGGTTGTTGGACTTGCCATTCTACCCTTTCTACAGAAGTTGGCGAATGCTCCCTGTCCTGCTCTTGAGGTACCTCCTCCAGACACACGAGGAACTCTTGCGAGTGCTCTTCCTGTTCCCCACGAGTGGGCTGAGTGTCTCATACCGGCCATTGGGTTTACTGCGTATGGCTGTTTGCTGTTTCTCATGACCATGTTCTGCACTTTGCACACTAATTCACTTCTTACTGACACTGAAAATACTTTGGGTAGCTCCACCTTCTTGTAAACTGAACTGCCGTCTAATTTGTAGCATTCTACTTGATTCTGTATCATTGCCCTTGTCGTTTTAAAAAGAAAAATAAAATTAATATTTTAGTTTTTGGACAATTTTGTGCTGTGGCAATAATACCGCTGGATGTGCACAAATCTGCTGCAAAAAGAAAAATGCTTTTATGCCTCTGCTGATGGAGAGTCTGTGCACATACTGAATGAACGCTTAGATAATATTATTTTTATCTGTGTAGTTTGAAAAAGAGAGAATACTCTATTGGAGAAGCCAGATGGTTTTGTAGTGTTTAATGGATCATAATGAGCACAGGAAGAGTAGAGTAGTGCAGAATAGACAGCTGTGTGATAATCTTGTATGATAATCATTGTAGAATAAATTACTAAAAGTTGTGTATGCCATTGGTTTGTCTGTTGGTAATACTATTTTTTTATTTGGAATTTAGCTCTACTCTAACTCTATTATTGATGCTAGTAGTAGAGCACTTTGCAGCTTTGATGATTGGTGACAAACAGCCATCAGAGAATAAGTGGTTGGGATTAAGTAAAATATAAAAAGCTGCTCTCCAATAGATTACGTAATATTCTTTTATGGCTCTGAAGAAAAGCAGCTCAGTGTTTTACAGTGATTTTTGGTTGTGTGATAGAGATAGCAGATAAAAAGATACGAGTTTTTATGGTGGTTTATTTTAGACCAAAACAGCAAAATAACCTGCTTTGATCTGAGCAATCCTCTCTAGAGATCTATGATGTGCCATAGATAAAGGAGTTTGGGGCATTATACTATGCATACTATAATACCAGTGCTCATCTGAGCATTCATTCAGGTTGAATCTTGCTCCTACTGATTTTACTAACCATCCCATGTAAAAACGGAGAACAATGGACTAAGCCACCATGCTAAGCAGCCATTGGCTTTGATGCTTGTATTTTTACTATGTTCTCTAGATTGCTCGTATACGCGGTCAAACTCTCTTGCGATATTTTTTCAATCTCTTGGCAAATCAGCTCTTTATTGTCTATGTGGAATCCAATGTCAAGCCAGTAGTTAAAAACTTCCGTGGTGTAATCTTCCAGGTTCAAAGCTTCTTCTTTGATCGCTGCAATGGCGCTGCTCTTGTGCGCCAAGTACTCTTCAGGTGCCATCTTAGACAGTCTGTTCTGAATCTCCTTGACGAACGTGGTGATGCGATTTGCTACGTTTTCGATGTCTCTGGTGCTCTGAACTGTGAAATGGACATACACTTTCTGGAATAAAACCTTGTACGACATGAACACAATGTATCCGTACTCTTCTTTTGTTCTCAGCTCATCAAAGAACTTTTCAGAGAATATTTGGACAAGAAGCACTGCAAGAGAAAACGAGCTGATCAAACTGTCTGCTACAACCTTGTGCACAATTGTAACTGCAATGTTCTGCAAGTCCACTGTGGGCATTTCCAAGCTGCTTAGTTTTTCAGAAAAAACAGGCTCATGTGTTGTAAAAGTGACGTACTTGTTTATCCGGTCAATAACCCGAGAAAACTCTTTTTCCGTTATGTTCCCAACACCGAGAATTTTCACCTGTGCTTTGCTGATGACCACTAGGTCTTCGGGCGAAAGAACTTTTGCTGCTTTCATCAGGCTGTGGATGTCAAAGATGGGATACCCTGCGAGATGGCTTATGCCGCTCACACTGCTCTTGTAGGGAGACTTGCGTGCATCCTGCAAGAAGTGCGAAAGCGCTGATTCTTTGGAAAGATTGAACAGCTGTGTGTTTCTTGCCGTGTACTCTGCAAAAAACTTCTCAATTGCGTCTTCGATAAGAATCGGTGTTCCGTTGAATTTGATCAAAAGACCGTAGACAGACTCTCCTGTGCTCAGCGTGACAATCGAAGATGTGAGGTTAGTCTTGTACTTTTCGTTGAATATTTTTACGAAAGCTTTGAAGTAGCCAATAGCTGCTGCATACACTTTCTCCGATGCTAAGTGCAAGTCTGTCTCCAGCAGTATTTTCACCTGTGCATTTGTTCTGTACTTAGCGTTTTGCACCAGATATCCAATGCACCCAGGCCTCATTACCTCCTTGTACTCCAGCGGTGAGTTTTCTTCTGGATGATCGGGTATGCTGTTTGGGATGGTCCCTAGCTCCAAAGTTCCATCTGACTCTCTGCACTCAGAGACGCTCTTTCTCTTAGGAATTGCAAAGCACCACTCCAGCTTGCTCTTCAGATCGGCCAAAAGCGGTTCATCTATTTCGGGCATTTCTTCGATGAGGTAGTTGATTCCGTATATTTCATCCACTACTATTTTTTCTCTGTTGTGGATGTTCTTTGCTCTGTACAGCACAACCCATTTGCTCTTGTCCAAGGCCACATCCAGCAGCTTGTGGAACTCTTCTTCATCAAATCCGTCCCATATGTAGTCGTATTTCAGGAACTCCTCTGTGGGATAGAACTGCATGGCATACGCAGCTGTTTCAACCAGCTCTAGCGGCTCTGCAGACTCGTTTGTCTCAAATACTTTCTCATCGATCACCCTAAACACTTCGTACAGCTCTTCTGTTGCATTTGTCTTAATCATTTCAATGTAGTGGTGCAAAAAGTCAAGTAAAACAGGTATCTGCGATCTGTTGTCTTCTGCTAGCTCAATTACAATGTATAGCACCGACTGTATGGAGCTATTATCAACGTACACACACATATCTGTGATGATTCCCTCTTTAAGAAGGGTCCCCACAAAGCCTGAGCTTCCTGTTCCGTTGAGAAGCTCTTCAAAGTATGCACAAGACTTTTTTCTGTACTTCGTTATATTCTCGGGAAGGGTAATGCTCACAGTTAGGCTGCAGTGATCAGTATTTAAGTTAACTGCGGGCCGATACAGCACCACCTGATTGCTTACAGCACTGTCAAAAGTGTAGTATTCTATGGATGTAGGCCCAACTATTGGTGGTAGGTACATCGTGTCAGACCACTTGTATGCTCCGTTCTGAGATTTAACCTCTTTGAAGCACTCCTCCACCCAGCCCTGCAGGACATCCAGTGGCTCGCTTCCGTGCACTGCAAGACACATTCTATCAGGCGTGTAGAAACATTTCCAAAATTCGTGCAAATCTTCTCTTGTAGCTGACGCCAATGTCTCCACAGACCCAACTGAAAACTTGCCAGTGGGTAGCCCTGGCTTCGATAGGAGAGAAAGGAGGTGGAATCTTCTCCACTCTTCCGATAGGATATACGCACTGTGCTCGCTGTTCACCGCCTGTATCTCTCTGGAAATTGCATCCTCTCGGATCAGAGGAGATTTGAAGAATCCGCTGAACATCTGCATGCTTTTTTTCAAGTGTGCTGGATCAATGTCGTAAAAATAGTTGGTTACTTCGCTCGATGTATTTGCATTCGAGTTTCCGTTATTGATGTGGATGTACTCCATGTATGCGTTCTCGTCTGGGTACTCTTCTGTGCCCATAAAGAGCATGTGCTCCAGGAAGTGTGCCATCCCAGGATGCTCTTTAGGGTCTGAATAGCTCCCCACCTTCACAGACATGGACACTGCGGCTTTGTCTGCCTTGGGGTCGTGCGACAGGAGAACCCGAATCTTGTTGGAAAGAGTTAGTGCTCTGTACTCGTATTTATCTGCTCTTCCGCCTAGCTTTAATACCATGGCTAATTAAATTTTAAATATTAAATGGGCACGGTGTTTAGTGGGCTTACGAAAGAGGACATGAAGACAGTGAAGAAAACCGGATGCAGGCTTCCGTCTGAGCAGATAGAAATACTCTACAAGCGGTTCAAAGAGCTGGACAAGGAGGAGATCGGGCGCGTGTACATGGATCAGCTGCTCTGCATACCCGAAATAAGCATCAATCCGCTGGGAGAAAGAGTTGTGAGAAAAATATGCGGAAAAGACGGGAAAATCGACTTCAAGGGATTTGTGCTGGCAATTACCGTGTTTAGCAAGTACTCCACAAACGAAGAAAAAGTAAACTTCTTTTTTGAGCTGATAGCAACAGACGGAACCATAACGAAAGAGAGCCTGCAGGACATAGCAAAAGACCTCTACGCGGGCGACGAGGACATGGAAGGGGTCAACCTGGGAATCGATGAAGTGTTTAGAGTGTACGATCGAGAGCACAAAAATTTTATTGAGTGCAAGGACTTGAAGAAGATGGACTGCAATGCTCTGGGAAACATATTTTGATGTAAATGTGTTTGGTAAATAAAATTATTATAGATATTTATTGCTGTAGCTTAAACTCAAAAATTATTGTATTCTTATATAGACTGGAGAAAAGACTGGTTAGAAATGGCTGCACATCCTGCATTTTCTCTCACTTTTCTACACTGGAAAAAGAGGCTGTTTTGTAGTGTAGATACTTTTCCTTTACATTCTCCATTTCATCTTCCAGCTCTTTTATTCTCTTCAGAGACCCCAAGTACTTTCTCTGTGTTTCCAGGAGAATAACTTCTTGCTCCTCCATCTGCCGAGTTTTCTTCTCTCCAAAGGCCATCCATCTGTTTATTTGTGACATGTAGTACTCCTCTAGGTCCTGCACTTGGCTGTGTGTTTTGCTGCTGCGTGCGAGCTCAGACACGCTCTCTATTATTTGGCTGATGACTTCGACTCTTTTTATCTTGTCATCAAGCAAGTCTATGCCGATCTTTAGCTCGCATTCTAATGACTCCATGGCTAAAATATTTTAGAAACATAAATCAGAAACTGGGAGAGAGATGTGTGTTTGGCTGGGAGAGTGCGCAAAGATCTTAATGAAAAATGTTGGTAGATTGTGTCAGTGTAACAAAATGCCAATTAATGTGCGTTATTATTAACACTCCAGAGAATAATCTGCAAAGTAACACGAATAACATGGGTATAAAAATTTAAAATATTAAAATACCATGGCCAAGCAAAGAAACTGCGCTCACCGGAGAGAAATCGTAAGATCGAAAACAGAAGAGTCGATTGATGAAAGAAAAAGAAGAGAGCAGATAAAGAAGGGAAGACACACCGACACGTGGAATAAAAGGGAAGAGATACGCTCCCAGAGGAAAGAGATCAGACAAAGAATACAAGAAAGAGAAGAAGCCGCAGAAAAAGAGCTGACCACCAGCAGAAACGCCAGACTGGCGCTCAGAAGAAAGAAGAAGATGCTCAAAGACCTCTACAAAGAAAAAGAGTAAACACCAGACTATTGCTAGAAATGAGCTCAAGCCAAATAAAATTATTTTTAGATGTTTATTTACTCGTTTTGCGACTGGATCTCTACTTCTATTTTCTTGTCCAGCAGCGACGCATTTATTTGCAGAAGAGTCAGCAGCTCTTTGTTCCTCGTGTATGACAGTGATTCTAGATAGTACCTCTCAGCCAGCCCATACAGCTTGTACTGATGGAAAGCTCTTCCGAGATTGTAAAGCAGTAGACTCAACTTCTCTGTGTAGTTGTCCTCCGAATAAGTTGTCTGCTTCAAAAAGTCTACTTTTAATGTGTAGACTATGTTTTCATTTTTGACTGATGTTTCTACACTATTTCGAACGTGATCGTAGTTTGTTTTTACGTGCTCGGAATAATTCTTAAGAATTCTGATTCCCTTGTGTATGTATCTGTCACGGTCTACGACCTTTCTGCTTGACGCGTGCGTCAGAAAAAGGGAAGATAGTGCAACTGCCCTCGAGATGCCCAGCAGTGTGGTATCTACGTTCTGCAGAACTGATTTCTCCACTGCCTTTTCCAGCCTGGCAGCTGTGTCGGTGTATATGAAGCTGGGCATGTAGGAGAAACAGAGAATAGTCAGAATGTGCAGCTGTTTTACTCCAGTCGCATGGTGTTTTCTTCTGAGGTTCCTCTGCACGTTTTTTTGGAACTTGTAGTACTCTGATCGCTTATGAAATTTTGGAATTTGGTTGATAAGAAAGTAGCTGAGATAGTAGAAAGACGTAATGTCTACGCTCTCTCTAACCGCATAGAACCTAATGATGTAGGTGATGGCAAAGTGCAGAGACTCGAGATCTTTTGCAACATGTGATAGACGAACCAGCATCCAGAGCAGAGAAATGTACTCGTCGGAAGAGCTTCGCAGTATGTGGGAAGTAAGCGCTTTTTTCAGCAGAAGTATTCCTATATCGTACGACTTATCGTAGTACAGAGCTATGATGTACTTGTACAGAACATCGTGCCACTCCTGCACGCTCAGCCCGCCGAGCAGAGAAGCTATGACATCGTGGTATACCTTTTTAGACATTTGGGGCCGGTCTTCGCTGCCCTGATTGAACACATTCCCTAAGTCGTTGATTTCGTGGAGAAGATCAAAATCTCCCTCAAAGTCTTTTGTGCTAATTAGCTGCCCAGCGGAAACACATTCGTTCTCAAAAGTGTCTTTTCTCTTCTTTTTTTTCTTGGTGAAGACAAACGTGTTCTTTAGCAGAAACATAATCAGCTCCTGTGCTGAGCTTATGAAGTATTTTCGCACACTCGTCTCTGTCATTATTTTCTCCTTCTCGTATATGTGCATAGCCTTGTACATCAGCGATCTTATTCGCATGCAGTCTATCTGTTTGTAGAACAAAAGCCCATTTCTTTCTATTCCGGCAGTGGCCTGTGTGGTTTCTGTTTGTATTTGCAGAGCGTACTCTAACGCCAAGTCTATATTTCCTGTTTTCTTGTATATTTCTGATATTTTCATTTTTACCTCTTCCAAAGAACTTTGCAGAGAGTCTGACACGTCTTTGTAGCCGAGTATTGACTTGTACTGCATAATGCTTTTATCATAGTCCTTCAGCTTGTCGTATACCAGGGCAATTCTTTTTTTAACATTCGTCGCTTCTTTTATCATAGCATATCTTATCTCTGTGCTGTCTGATGCATGCACCTCTTTGTTCAAAAATATCTCTGAGCTCTTATCTATCAGCAGGAGAAGTTTAAGCGCTACTTTGTATTTTCGCATTTTGATAAGAATGTCTAAAAAGTATCCAGTAAGCACCAGATGGATAGGATCGGCTATCACTGAAGTGTTGATGGGCACGCTGATAATGTCTGACTTTCTATTGCTTTCTATTAAAATGTTGAAAGAGCTGTCCATGGTGGCATTGTCTCTACACACGCAGAACGGATGGTTAGTGCACGCGTGGCATTTGCTACTTATCTCGGAAATTATGCTGCCAAAAAAAAGAATAATCTGCGATCTGGTGCATACAACCTCTCGTTTGCAGTACTCCAGAGAGTTTCTCAGCTGAGAGAGCAAATGGCACCTGTTCTCAACAAAAAGCAGGTCGATGTAGCCAACAATAAAATCATCGGCAAGTGTTCCAAAGACCTTTTCTTTGTCCAGCATTTTGCTGATAAGATCAACTATTTTCACTTTGTTCTTCAGCACTCTTATGTGGCCCAGCAGCTCAGAAATAAAACTAGCAGGAAAGCCATCCTCTGCGATCATTTCAGCTTTTATTTCAAATATCTTCTCAATGTTCTTCTGCTGCCTGTATATGCCCAGGAGCTCGTTTAGTGTTTCTGGTGTGTTTTTTATTTTTTTAATTCTTTTCAGAATGTATATCTGGTAGTCCAAATCATTCTCGCTTTTCTTGTACTCGTATAGCTTCTTCCACAGACTGATGTCTGTCCTTTTTATGCTTGCTGCGATAAGAAACGCATTGAAAGATTTTTCTGACTCTCCCTGCTCTTCGTATATAATGCCAAGCAGGTAGTACGCGCTGTCGAACATGCTGTTGTATGTGAGCGCTTCTTTGATCTTATCAATGGCAGAGAGAAACTCGCCTTTGACATACAGCTTATTGGCAACACCTAGAATATCCTCGGCAATATGCTTATCCGTTGTTTTTCCTTTTTTCAGCCTTCGCTTCATTATTCGGAGAGACTCTTCTTTCTCTTTCCGGATGTACTCCTCGAATCCCGTGATTTCGTCTACTGCAGGAGTTTTCGAAAGCCAGCTCAGATAATCCATAGACAATAAAATATTTTAATGCGAAAATATTTTAGTTCTAGAGCCAATGACAAGAGGTGAGAAAATATTTGTGTTTGACTTAAACGGAACTTTGCTAACAAGAGTCAAAGAAAACAAAGGAGAGCATCTAAAAGTAAGAGATGCAGATGAGATACTCCCTTCTAGAGGAGACCTGATATACATCAGACCGCATTTGGACGCACTGGCATCATACTTGCACGAGAACAAGATAAAGTATGTCCTGTGGACCACTGCGATGGAGCACAACGGAGTCCATCTGGTGAATGCAGTGAAAAAAAGAGGTTTGGACAAGTATCTAGGCACGCTCTTCCACTCGCACTCTACGCCTGTTGTGAGCCATCCATTCAAGCGCGCAAAGAACATGAAGGTTATTGCAGACCTATACAACACAGAGATAGAAAATGTGTTCCTAATCGACGATGAGATAATAAAATGCGTGCCAGAGTCTGCCTACATACCCATCTCTGAGTACAGCCCAATGAACACAAAAGACGACGCACTTCTGCAGATAATAGAAACCATCAAGGAGCTTGCACAGTAAACGGCTTCATTAGAGCTGAACTATTAAAATACCTATGAAAACCATTCAGAATAAAAACAAAATGTTTTAGAATTAAAATGTGTACAATTTCCTGTGCTTTTTGCGAACTTTTACACTTAAAATTTATTTCTCAAAATACAGAGAAAATGTTCTACGCTTTACTTTTTTAAGTGTGGCTCTGCAGAGTGTACTAATTTATTGAAAAGCAGAATTATTTATTGACTTAGCTCTGCCAAAGAATAATGGAAAACAATTATCCAATCAGCATCTCTGAGATAGCCAGGACTCTCAAAGACAGAGAGGCTTTCCTTCTCAAGTACAGCAAGTGTCTATACGCCCGTGTGATATATGAAGACATCTTGACTCTCCTGCATGAAATACTCGTTAAAAAGGTTTCTGTCGGCTGTGCCGTTAAAATACTGAATGTTTACTACGTAGTTCTCCACGAGCCCAAACAAATCACAGTGCGTGAGATGTTCTACAGATGCAAAAAGATATTCTCTCATCAAAAGCATCTAGTGGCAACAATACAGAATGTATACGCCCGGCTAAAAACAGAGCTAAACATAGTCGCATCGTACAAAGGCCTCGTCCATGGAGAGTGCGCAATAAAAAGAGAAAAGACAAAAATAGTTCTTGCAGAAACTTCACTAATTCCGTACATTAGGCCATTTGACAGACTAGTGACCAGTGCAAAAATCATCATTGTGGTGGAAAAAGAAGCTGTCTTTAACGATGTTCTGCAAGACAAGACCAAAATAGAAGAAAAGCTCGGTGCATCTGTGCTTATAGTAACGGGAAAAGGGTATCCGTGCACAAACACTCTTCTATTTCTTATGCTGGCAGGTGACCTCAGAATATTCGGGCTTTTTGACTGTGATCCGCACGGTCTGAGCATATACACTGTGTACAAATACGGAAGTAGGCACAGGCCGTACCTAAAAGTGCCCAGCATTCAAAGAATTGGAGTGTTTTTGCAGGACCTGCCATCACTAGCAGATCTGGCGAGCATTCAGCAGAAAAAAGAGTACAGCATGATAAGAAATCTGTCTGTGCAACACAAAGAGATGGAAGAAGAGATCAGGACCATGATGAGAACAGGAAAAAAGGCATCAATAGAGGACATTGCGCAGATAAAAACGATAAAAGCATACGTAGTAGACCAGATCTTCTCGGAATATCCTTCATTAAACTGGTGATACTTAAACTTGACCTGTAGAGTGTTTGCTGATTTATTTAATTTTATTCTAAAAATATATTCTCTTTTGAGGCTGTATTTACGATAGAAAGAGATTAGCCATCTTCAAAGAGAATTTATCTGTATTTGCACAGAAAAACTCTGCTGTGCAGGAGTTAGCCTTCCACATAGAGTGCTTTTAACGCACTCTTCAAAAGTCTGCTGCCCATTTCAAAAATACTTCTAGCTTTTCACTGTAAGAGGGTACTTGTAAGATTTAATTGCTTCTTTTATTTTATAGTTCATCAGGAAGTATATCCTTAGGAGTAATCAAATACTTTTCTGTCTGCATAGACTGCAATGGCCCTGTGTGCAGTGTTTCATTTACGACTGATGACAGCGCATCGTACACGCCTTTAACGCGCTCTCTTTTTTCCTCTGCAAATAAACCCATAATATTTTTATGCAATTTCTTCGCACAAATCCGCGTCTATCTCTTCCTGTGGGATCGCATACTGGCTCACGTACTCCCCCACCTTTTTTTCATACTCTTCTTTGCTTTCTCTGAACAGCCTCCCCGCCTCAATATTTAACGGATCATCTGGGTTGGGATAGGCCAATAGCTGCGGAAGAAATGTTTCAACTATGTTTAGCACATCATACAAGGGAGACCACACTTGGTTGAGAACATCGAGGCAGACAGTCCCGCTGCTTTCGTCGATGTTTGGGTGGAACACTTTCGTAATGAATCCTATTGACGGAGATTTGAACGGGAAATCTTGCGGTAGAAATATTCTTATCTTATATTTTCCTCGGGAAAAGGGCGTTCCAGAGGGTCCCTGGATCACCACAATAAACGAAGAGCCAAAGAGGGTATCTTCGCATTCGACTAAATAGTTCTTTTTGAATAATCTGTTTATTTCTGTTCTCACTCTGTTCATTCTCCTGTCTTATTTATTGTTTTGTAAATAAAGAGGGATGCTCCAATCATCATTGCAAATAAATATATTTATTAAATTCGATTGGTTTATTTTTAAATATGGTAACAATCTTGTCTGCATACTGCAGCACCACTGGTGTCATAGGAAACAAAGGCTCTCTTCCGTGGCCTTCCCTGAAGAGTGATTTTCAGTTTATGAAGTACATCACAACGCGGAGGCCCTCTGGGATAGTCATGGGCTCAAAGACATTCAAGTCCATAGGACGGCCTTTGCCCAACAGAACATCAATTGTGCTGACATCAGCGGATATTTCTCCTAAAACGGCAAACGAGGACAGTCTAGACAGAAATAGCCCTTTATATCCCGGACCAGTGGAAGGATCGAATTACAAAGTGTACTATAGAAGGAGTCTTAAAGAAGCTATAGACCTATGCAGCGCTCTGTCTCTGGAGCCAATAGTTTTTGGAGGAGAAAGAGTCTACAGAGAAGCAATGGAAACGTACCCCTGCACGCTCTACATAACAGAAGTGTACAAAGAGTACGAAGGAGATGCACGCTTTCCCATAGAGCTGATAGACAGAAGGAAAATGGTAAACATCACGGAAGAAGTGCTGGGGCTAATTGGGAGAGAGATCTGCACAGAAGAGCTGCACAAAAAAAATCTGCAGTGCGATGAAAACAGAGGAAATGCAGCTGGAAGCGAAGAAGAAGAGAAGAAGAGAGGCGCATGTATTAATGGGAGCGCTGTGTGCGATAATAACGTATTTTACTCGTTTTTTAAATTTACTTCAAGCCCACATGAAAAATAAAACAGAATTAATTATCTTTTAATTTTTATACCCTTGACAAAATGGTAAGCGGACCACGAAAACATCTGAAGAGACTAAATGCACCAAAGTCATGGATACTTGACAAACTAGGAGGAACCTTTGCCCCTAGACCACGATGTGGACCACACAAATTGAGAGAGTCTCTGCCCCTCTGCTTGATCGTACGAAGAAAGCTCAGCTTTGCCCAGAACAACAAAGAAGTGAGCCACATTCTGCAGAACAGACTCGTGAAAGTAGACGGAAAAGTAAGAAGAGACCAGAAGTACCCAGCAGGCGTGATGGACGTAATCAGCTTCCCAAAGATACACGAGAACTACAGATTATTATACAACGTGAACAAGAAGTTCTGCCTGCAGCCCATCACAGAGGAGGAAGCCAAGTTCAAGATATGCAAAGTGCTGACCAAGAGGCTGGAAGGAAAGAGCATCCTGACCCTCCACACTAACGACGGAAGAACAATCAAGTACGCAGACCCAAGCATAAAGATAGGAGACAGCATCAAGCTCAACCTTGAGACCCAGGAGATGGAGGAGTTCTACCACCTGGAGGTTGGAAAGACTGCATACACCTTCAGAGGAAAGAACTTGGGATGTGTTGGAATCATCAGAGAAATAAAGACACACATGGGAGGATTCTCCATGTCCATCCTCGAAGACTTGAACGGCAGAACATTCATCACAAGAACAGACAACCTCATCGTGATTGGAGAGGCTGGCGAGTCAATGATCAGCCTGCCAAAGGAGAGAGGTATCAGAACCACCGCCATGATGGTAAGTAACATGGTCTACGGAGAGATAAAGGAAGGCGACGAAGAAGCCGGCATGTCCGAAGAAGAAGAAAGCGATGAAGAGTAAGAATAAAATACTTCCGTTTTAAATTTTTATTGTAAATTATTTGCACTGCGTATTTCCCCATTGGTGAGAGTCTTTTACCCAGCTTTCCAGTATTCAATGATCAGTGCTACTTTCTTGCACATTCAATGCTTATGCTGATAGTTTCTGTCTTTAGATTAGACCCTTCTCTGGATGCTATCTTATTCTCTGCGCAGATAAGAATCATCAATCATCAGTTAATATTTGTTTATCACTTGCACTGGAGAAATGGTTCGATTATCTCTCTAGCACACTCCTGCTCAGAATGATCTTTTTATAAAGACTTTTCTAGCGATGACAGAATGGCTATGGGTATTCTTCTCTCCAGATCATCACACTCGTTTTTCCTTATTTCATCCTCCAGCTCTTTCTTCGCTGGTCTGTGCTTGGGCTGTCCCTGTATGTACTTGTTTTTTATCTCTCTTGTCTCTCGCATCAGATGGTTTAGCTCTGTTACTCCATCAATAATTGGTGATAGATCAGGTATGCCCTGAATGCTTTTGAACTTCTGCGATAATTCATGGTGCATTGCCTCTTTCTGCAGGAGGAGTTCCTGTGCTGCAGATAGCTCTGTTTTCTTAAGAGTTAGGTCCAGTATTCTCTCCTTCAAATGTTCAGGCGTTGGCGGAGGAGTATTTGTTGCTTTTCTTCCGTACACAAAGTCGTCTGGGAATGTGAATATGTTTCGGAGCGTAAATCTTTCAAAAATCAGCATGTTTTTCTGCAGGGCTGTTTCTATCTTATCTATTCTTCCTCTTATGTCGCCTGTGCTGCCTAGAGATGACACAAGGGCCCTGCTCATTCCCTGGTAGAGCTCTATGTGAAAGTCCGTTGGAAGAAAAGAGAAGAACTCCAGCTCGTCTTCGTACTCTCTGGCCATAAATAAAATATTTACAGCAAATATTTATGCTATTATTGACAGTGCATCCGATAGATCGCCGGACAAAAATAAACAAAGAAGAGAGCTGAAAAGAGTGTCCAGTGAGGATAGAAGATAGCGACGAATACGGAGCAGTAAAAGTTTTTAACTGGTGCAATTTTAGTGGCGGGAAAGTGCCCGCCAATAATTCGTATTTATATTGGGAGAGTGATATATAAGAATGCGTGCGCCAAGGCTGTCGTTTTCAGAAGAGTTCAGAGACGAGTGGGACAAGGAGAACAAAGACCCAATCAAGCTAGAGTTCTCTCCGAGGACCATACGGCACAGGCCATCGAGACAGGACATAGGAGAAGCGCTGGAAGCAGAGAAACAGAGAAGAATGCAGCCCGCAAAGCCGCTAAGACAGTCGTGGCTGGATGATCTGCTGAGGATGTAGGATGTAGGAGATAATAGGTAATATAAATAGAACAAATAAATATAGAATGTAACGATTGGCAAGAAAACTTCATCTTTTTTGTTTAGGTGTTTAGGTGTGTGTTATAGGATTTACCTGTCCTTCACTCTTGCAAAATTTTATTGGGTGCAGCACTCCAGATTCATCTGCTCATTCGAGAATAGCCTGAGAATATTATCCTACTAAAAGAGTACATCTATCTTGTGCACAAGACAAAGAGATCTGTCTATTTAGATCTCTTGGCATTTTCTGATCTTAGGAATTAAACGAAGATAGTTTAAAAAATAACGGTAAATTTACCTTATCTAAAGATGGAGTGCTGCTAGACTTTGTGCGGTTCATCTGAGAGATTCTCTTCTCACTCTTACATCCTTAGCACAGAAAGTGTTCAGAATTACTAAAAGATATCTTGTGCTCTGTTAGAGGATAGATGTAGCTATGGAGAGTTCAAAGTAAAACATTTTTAGTGGAGTTTTTGAGCAGAGAAGGTGTGTGCAGTAGTTTTATGCAGGGTAGAGCAGGAAACACATTGAAATTCCAATGTGGCTTTAATATTGAAGCGTTTTTGCTCTCCAAGGGAGAGAATAAATTAAAATGCGAAATTGAAAATATGAAAAATTCCAAGGAAATAGACCAATACTTCAAGATGGATGAGCAGGCTCTTGGCGAAATGGAAGAGAGAAGGCCGTCTGTAAGAAGGGTCAGCTTTGCACTGGAGCCGCAAATAGCATACTCCCAAGTAAAGGACGAGCCAAGCAAGTCAGAAAGCAGCTCTATCAGCATGAGCATGGAAATGGCGCACAAAACATCAATGGAAATGACGCTGGACGACCAGCTTCTAGATGAAGAGCTCATGCAGAATGAGACACTTCCGCTGTGCGAAGAGAAAGAGGAAAACTTCATTATGGATGACTCAGAGGACACCATGGAAGAGCGAAGAATGAGCATATGCCCGATCAACAGAGAAAAAACAATGGAGCACACAGTGTGCCATGTAAATACTGAGGTTGCAAATGCTAATAGCAACTCGGCAGAAAATACTCCCAGCGTAATATCTAATGTTGCATCGGATAAGGATGCAAGTTCTATCATCGAAGAGGATCCTATTGTGAGCAATGGAGCAGGCATTGGCAATGCTACAGCATCAAATCTTGAGACAGGAAGTGCATCTCAGAATGAAAATATTGCAGTGCCTTCCATCAATGAAAATGTGCTAAATAGTCCTAGAGAATTGGACGGGTTCTACGACAATGTGGAAGAGTATTCCCTCGATGGTGCTAAAGATGATATTTTGAGTGATATGCTATCCGAGATAGTCTGTGCAGCGGATAGCAACACCTTGGTCTATGACACAGTGAACGTAGAAGAAGTTTTGAGTAAGTACGAGACAGTAAAGAAAGAGGAAACAAAAAAAATAAGAGAAATTCTGGCAGAAACAGGAATACGGTTTTTGGACAACCTTTCGCTCAGCAACAGAAGAGAAACACTGTCCAAAATACGAAATAAAGTAGAGAACGGGGATGTGATATACTATAAGGACTTTGTACAGAGAAGAATAGAAATGCAAAACATGCTGTCTGCTGGGCTGTCTGCAGAGATAGAAAAAACAAGAGACGAAACAGAAATTATAGAAAGAGAAGTAGACTGCACAGGACTGTCGTCTATCGACAGAAATACGCTGCTTTCAAAGCTGCGGCAGATGAAGTCTGATGCAAGAAAAGAAGGGAAGGCTCACTGGCACAAAAAGAGGCTGGAAGTAGAAAAAGAATTTCTCAAGAAAACCGAAGACCTCTATGCAGATTACGAAAAAGAAAAACAGCAGCTAAGCGAAAAGATCAGGAAAATGAAAAAAGAAACAGAAAGCATAAACATAAAGGAGCTCGAAGCGAAAGAAAAAGCGATGAAGGAGATTCTTGTGACAGTTGGAACGCTTTCTCAGGAGGAAGTAGGAAGGTTTGTAGAAGAAGTCGAAAAAAAGAAAGAGGTAGAAAAAGCACTGGAGGCGCAGTATAGCGAGCTCCTTAAAGACGCACATGAAGTGAAAAAGAAAGATGCGGAAACCACACAAATAATAGAAACAGAGAAGGCTGAAATACAATCTTTGCAGGATGGGCTTCATGTGGCAGAAGTGCAGAAAGACGACTTGGAGCAGATAAAGTCTGCAGTCCAAAGAATGGAGGTGATACTTGGCGTCAAAATACTTGAAATATCGCACAGCAGGCTTCTGATGTCAATATGCGATATAGTTATAACAGTGATATACGATGGAGCAACGATTGTGGATGTGTACGCAGAGACAAAAGCAAAAAGTCTATTTAAGGAATTTATCTCTCTATCAGTCGGCTCGGTTTTGGTTTCAATGGGCCTGCTAGTGGAGAGCATGCCGGTGGTTATAAGATACATTTTGGAAATGGCATCGATTGAGAAAGAAGTTAAAAAGCTTGGAGTGTCTGTCCCGTACGAGATACACCACACAGAGAAGGAAATGTCAATACAGTTCATGATAAGAAAAGGAAAAAGCGGACAGATGGGACAGGTAGTTGCAATTTTCAAATCGGGAAGCGTGGTACCTGAAATATCCAGCAATATTAAAGGATTCCAGGTCTCCCGCAGTAGATATGGAAGCATCTCAGAGTCAGTGGATCAGGCAAGAAACATAGCACACATTAAATAAAACATTTTAAATTACCCAGCACAGCACCAATGGAGCTAAAGCAAAGCAGTGTTCTCATACTATCCCTGCGCGATAGATGAATATTAATGCGAATTTTAGACAAAATTGATCAAATTAATAGAATTGATAATTGTTGGGATAGAATGTACAAGAATAATTGTTTTTATTTTAGATAGAAATGCTAAGGTTCATACAAAGAGTAGCAATCCTATCTGTGCTAGTAATGAGAGTCTTTAGCACGTATAATCCCGACGATCTGGTTCGAGATATCATGTACAGACTTTACAGAGAGAATTGCACAAGAAGCTCAAGGCCCATTGAGAGAAAATACAAAAACTGCACTAAATCCATGCATAGAAACCATTGAAGCATCGATAAATAGTAAGAACTCGTACTACTATAAAAATATTTAATTCTACACACTTTTTATTTCTATACGCATCGAACACAAAACTATTTTACATTTTAAAATATACAGTTTAAAAATGCAAGAAAGAAAGAAGTTCTTTACAGTCAATCCTCTATTTTACGATAGATTCAGGAGCCCTGGCGATTTCTCTTTTGAATGTGAGCATCTAACAGACAGGATATTTTCATACAGCAGTGAGATTCTGATCTCCAAAACAGAGGAGTACAAAGAATCGTTTCTCCTTCCCATGTCTCTGTGGTCTATAATAGCTGTAGACCTCTTGGACATAAAAAGTGATTCCACTGTTCTTGATATGTGCTGTGCTCCTGGCATGAAACTCATCTACTCAGGTTTGGTGCTGAAATTGAAGGCAAAAGAAGCTTTGTCAGGCGCTGTAGAAGACTCCAAAGCCGCAAATGCACCTATTTCAATCACGGGCATAGATATTTCCAAAAATAGACTAAGCATAACAAAGTCGCTAGTAAAGAAGTATAAGGTGCCAGGAGTGCGGCTATTACTCGGCAACGCAGAAACAAGTGTAAGCACGCCAGTAGTGCAGATACAAGTTGGGAAAAGAGAACTCCAAGAAAAAAAGGATAAAATAAAAGAAACAGCAGAGCTTGGCGAAAAAGAGGTGTGCAGATGCAATATGGAGGAGAACAGCTATCCGCCATACTACACAAGCACGGGGCTCCGAAAGATAGGGCATGCCCACCAGAAGAAGTACAGCAGAATACTTGTAGACCCAGAATGCTCGCAGACAAGCACAGTCAAATACTTAGAGGGAAAAAGACCGCCAGAAAAGAACTACCCCATCCACCAAACTAAAATACTGCAAAACAGCATAGAAATGCTGAAGCCTGGGGGCATAGTCATCTACTCAACATGCACATTTGAAGACTCCGAGAACGAAAAAGTTGTCGAGGAAGTTCTTAAAACAAATCCGCACATTTCGAGAGTGCCAATAGAAGATGAGACAGTTAGAAAGTACACAGTGAGCACAAAAAATGTAGAGGAAAAAAAGAACGCGCTTCCATATGGTGACAGTTTATTTATAGCCAAATTAAAATACGACAAGCATTTATAACATATTTTCATTACTAAAACCACTCATTGAACAGATGGCATGTACATATTGTTGTTAAAATAGTTCCTCCGATTAATAAAGCACAAGATCCGATTAATTTACCTTTTTTATCCATTTTACGAGAGCAAGTCCTGTTTCTATTTATATCTTTATTTTTCAGTACTCCAATAGCGCTTTAAACACACCACCAATAAAATGAAAAGACACAGTGCAATAATTCGTTTATTTAAAAACAGGTAGTAACTGGATTCTACTATCCAAAGATAATTGGACAGCTGTGAAAATGCGTCTCCACGCAGCACCTGCTAGATAGCAGGAGAATTTTGCCAAATACTCAGATAAAAATAAGAACAAATGTCCAATACTCTTTTTCTAGCCCTTTGGAATAATAATCTGTCAGAACACCCAATACCTCTCTTTAATGCTTTACATTTACTGCTGCGCCTTGCCTATACACATTATGGCCCAGTTTTAATGCTTACTTTTCCTTTCCCTCTGCACCTTCTTCTGTGCCTGCACCTGCACCTGCACCTGCACTTGTTTTCCCAATGAAGTAGTAGCAAAGACCTCCGCTTACTGCTATCACAAGAACTGCTGCTAATCCTGTTATAATGTATTTCTTTTTGTTTCCTTCTGAACCTTCTGCCATATTCCAAGACTTCTGCCTCTTTATATAGATGTTTTAATCACTTATCATTTTTCTGAAAAATCCAGATCATTCCAGAGTTGATGATCCGCTGCGCACATTGGTCCAAAGTAAAATGTGCACTGGGCAAGTGCGCAATCAATTAATTAATGGATAAAGACATTGCTATGTTTCAAGAGCCTGAAGCTAATTGGGCACTGGGCATAAAAGGAAACTTAGACACTTCTTATCTCTAGAAAGAGGCCAATTGAAAATAGCATGCTGGTCTCTGGGCTGCAGTCTGTCTTTTTTCCTAGGCGCTGAAGACCATCCAGTTTTCCATTCTGCAATGTAAATTAAGCCCAAGAAAATATTTTGCAGCATGCCAAACGAAATAGACAGCATTTTCTCCCAGAAAGAAAGAAAGAAAACGAGCACAAAAGAGAAGACAAAAAAAGAGATGCACTACGACATACGAGGGAAAGAAGTTAAGGCACAAGCAACATACACAGAGGATGGGTACAAAATTTACACAGAGCAGGAGCTGAACATCGGAAAAGGAGGACAAACAGAAAATTGCCCCATTGACTGCAATTGCTGTTTTTAATGAAATTAATTTTTATTTACACAATGAACTATTTCCACATCCAAGAGCATCCGTTGCTGGTTGTTATTATAGTTTCGGTTTTTGCGATGCTCGCAGCGCGGATGGCTTGCATTATGGCAATGGGGTACATAAAATTTAAAACAGAAAGCTCCAAAGAGGTGGTTATATTCTCGCTGTACACATCTGCAGCCTGTCTTCTGCTGTCCTGGGCGTGCATCTACCTCGGACAAGCACGGCCCATGATAGAGCCAAAATAAAACCGCAAATATTTACATCCCCATGGGAGAAATAGAAGAAAAAGAAAGAGAGCTGAGAGAGGCTCTAATGAGAGAAGACAAAGAGATACTTGCAGAGCTCGGAAAGTATTTGGAGGCTGTAGTGGGGCAGATAGAGAGCAAGGAGGCCAATCCAGACACTCTCGAGCAGGAGATAGCAGCAGAAAAAAATATGCACAGAAAAGCGTCTGAGATCTTCGAGAAAGCCAAACAGAAAGAGCACACAGAAGAAGAAGTAAACGAGCTGGTAGAAATAGCAAATAATCTGCTGAAGCTGCACCAGAGATAAGGAACGCCAAAGTAAAAAGAAGAAAGCATGAGAAGTGCTGCATTCTACACAACAGATGCTCAAATAAGTTTTATTTCTTTATTGTTAGAGCCAAGCATAAAATTATTTACAATAAAACCATCTACACATAAATTATATTTACACCATTAGAACACTTTGTCTCGTGCATACTGCAAAGGGCTCTTTTCTTTCTTCAGAGGTAGCATAGGATGCTATCTATAGATTACTGCAAAAATAGTGATAGAAGTGCCTTTGTCTTGCTCTTTGCTCCTATGTAAATGTAAATACCGAAAATTTCAGTAACTATATATGGAAAGTGCAAAAAAGGCACAAATAAAATATTTATTAGACCCGTATAAACAGTGTTTTGTTTTATTCTTTTATCATTCTGTCTTTTATGTCTTTTATCTTTGTGTTTTTATAATTTATAGTCTTGTTGAGATAGTATCTCTCCTCTTCCACCTTCAGCCTTTCTTCCATTACCGATAGCTCATCAAACGAGTTCTCCTCTGTGCACAGTATGCGTGTCAGATTGTTCAGTGTTTCTGTCATGTCGTGCGACTCTGGAACTCTGTTTACGCTTTGGTAGATGAGATCGTCGTACGTGGGCAGCATAAATATGTGGTACGGAATGAGCGAGTCGTATGCGTTGGTAACGCTTGTAAATGGCTGTATCTTTGGATTCAGCACCTTATCCTGGTCTCTGCGCAGCGCCTTCATAATAATGTCTTTATTCACGCTGGGCGGAGCAGACTGCAAAATATGCTCCGACTGCAAATCCGAGTCGTAAACACTTTCATGCATAAATAAAAGTTTTAGCTAAAATTTATTTAACAATGTAGAGAAAGATATTTTTCAGGATAGATGGCGCTCTCTGGAATTTCAGGCGGCGAATACTCTCCGTTCAGCCCCTTGCTCCGAACAGACACTTTTTTCACAACCTGAGTCCGCCCCTCTCCCTTTATCACCAGACCGATAATTATGTTGTAGGAAATGGAAAAAAAGTCATTTTTGGATGTCTCTGAGGGCAGTGTGTCGTCTATTTTGATGGATACCTTGCCAGAGCTCCTTGTTACTTTGCAGGGAAACAAGATCTTGATTGGATTGATAGACTCTGTGAATGACTGAATTTTCATCTCAAGCGATGCGGTTATTCCCGAGATGTCTGCGCCTGTGCTCACTGCTATGTCTATGGGGTAGTCTTTTCCTGCGTACAGCACAGAATCGTGTGCGATGAGAATATCCACAGTTGAAGAGCTGAAGCACAGACAGTTGCTTATTTGGTGTTTGTACTTCTTTCTTTCTATTTCCTCTGGGGCTGTTTCTACCATGCATATTTCTCTGTGGAACTTGGCCACTGGCTTGAATATCCCGTATATCTTTACCTCGCATTTGCTTATGTACTTGTTCAGAGCATAAATGTGTTTCTGCTGAGTGATTTTTTTGTATTCGATTGTCGCGCCTTCCCCCGGCATCATTCGAAAGCTGAACGGGAACTTGTGCATCCCCGGGAGCATCTTTCGCGTTCTGTCTCCGTAGATAACAAAGCGGCCTAGGTGTCTTGTTGTTTTCTCATTGGAAACAGTTTTGCTGTTCAGCTCGTCCACTCTTATCTCAGACTCCTTGTCAATCGATAGAACAATATTTTCGATAGAGATCACGCCTGTTACCTGCAGTGTTATGTACCCAGAGACAAGCTCTCCTGCCGAGTACACTCTTTTGTAGTAGAATATTCCTACGGAGCAAACCATGTAAATGGAAGGGCATCATACTATATAGGAACAGCAGCCAATAAAAAACGGAAATTATTCTCCAATTATCTCCTGGAAAGAGCAGAGAGGTTTTCCTAAAAGTAACGAATGAACATGTTTCAGCAGTGCCTGCGGGATTAAAAGTATATTGAACCATTTTTATTTCCATTTATGTGCTAATGCTGCAAATAATTTGAAAAGAGTTTGGGCTGTAGAAATATGAAGCCTCTTGGCTAGTTGAGTATAGCGCACAGCTCAACCAGGAAGACTAGCACCGAGTTGGGAGGAATGCCTCCTGCGCGAGTTGATCCGTATCCTAAGCGCGGAGGGATTGTTATTGTTCTTTTGCTTCCCACAGCCATGCCTTCTATTGCGAGCTCCAGTCCTCGGATCATATGTCCTTCTCCCATCTTGAACACGAGCCCAGAAGATTTGTTCTTGTCGATCATCTTGTTGTTTACGTATAAAGTATATCTTATTTTTACCTTATCTGATTTTTTAGCTACCTGTTTGTTTTTTGATTTGAATGTGTCCACTATCTTTAGCTCTTTTAAGTCTCTTTCTTTTTCCTCTTTTTTCCTTTCCTCTTTTGACTTGGGCTTTGACTCTCCGAGTGTTTCATGGTGTTTTTCTTGGTTTTCCTCTTCGAATGTTACTTTCCCTTTTTTCTTCTGTTTTTGCTCCTGCGCCCGGGCGCCAACTATGCTCTCCATCTTGTCATCTGACAAAAACTGGTCGTCGTTGATCTCTTCGCTGCTTTCCTCGCACTCGCACTCTTCGAATATCTGGTTGCACTCTGAGCACTCATCTGGCTCGTCTGTCTCTTCTGCAGCGACATATCCAACCATCTCAACCTCGCCTTTTCCTACTAAAAAGATCTCCAGCTCTTCGTCTTCGTACGACTCCAGAGATATTTCAGCAGTTTCTATTCTCCCTGGGACCAGATTGGCAAGTGTCACTTCTTCCCCATTGATCATCAGGCAGACGGAGAGCCTCTTTGACTCAGCTGATACGATCGATACAAGAGTGTACACTGTGCTTCCTGTTACAAGCACTTTCTCGTTGTCTCTTATTTTTATGTTCACTAAGGACGTGCTTGGCGAGGGCTCTGTTGCATTTTCGTTCTCTAGATAAGATATGTGAATGGCATCATCTGTTGTTGTAGAAAGTATGAAAGACTCGCCTGCCTGTAACAGCATATTGGCAACAACGCTTTCATTTACTCCAGGCACTAGAGTGCACAGAACTATCTTGTTTCCTGCCACATCTTCAGCTATTAGCGATGTTGGCGCTTTGGAGGACTTTTGCTTAACCAGAGTAAATTCGTGTATAAGTGTCTCGGTGTGTGTTTTAAAGCTGGTTTCAGAGCATATTTGTACGCCTTTGTTCATTCTGTGTAAAAAATTTATCGTATTTTATTTTTAAAAATCTGATTCTATATGGCTATTTCTACAAAAATGCAGTAAATTTTGTGCTGGACGAATCCACAAACGCCATCCAATCCCATCTGTTATAATAAAAATAGCAAATAGTTGTGTAGATGAGGAGTCTGCAGATAAGAGCAATGATCCATATATTAAAATGCGTTTTGAATGAAAAGTACACATCAGCTAAGATAAAGAGCACGCATGTTTCTTTCACTGTTATTTTTGGGCTGTACTAGAAATATAAGTGAAATGAAATTACAGCACATTCAGCTATGATTCTACAGTAAAGTAGATTCGAAATCATGCGAATAAAAAAAAATCTGCAGCAGTTTTCACAATGTGCAGTGCATATAATCAAAAATAGCTCTGCTGTATTCATTGCAGCTACGGAAATATCTGAGAAATGTGCTTGTTTATGGCGGCATAGCTTGGGAATGTTATCAGTGTCTCTTGAAAGTATAGATTTATTTATGCTCTGTCAAATGCAACTACTTTGCAGGCTGGCTCAGTGGCTGGTAGTCTCTTGTCAAACAATGGGTACTTGGGGTTGTTCATGATCTGAAGAAGCTCCTTGCTGGTTACGTCCTTCTCGTCAATCAGTGCTACATCGATGATTCCAACAGTCTCTGGTCTTACACCGTGTCTTGATCTGAGGTCTTGCCACAGGTTGAACACGGCTTCTGCTCTGGTAAGTGCTCTGATTTCTTTGTGGACGTTGATTGTCTTTCTCTTCAGTATGTAAGAGGCTCTTACTCCAAATGTTCTTACTTTTCCGTCTTTGTACTGGGGAACCTCTTCTATTTTCAGAGTAACACCTGTTGACAGTCTGATCTTGTACTGTTTCTTTAGGAGGTTGAATGTTTTACCTCTTGCGACTATCTCGTTCTGGGCAAACACTGTGTTGCAGAAGACCTGGGGCACTGGGTTGGCTTCTGATGGCTTCTCAGAGGCAAGTACTCTATATTCTTTTATATGCATGGAGTGAATAAAAAAAAATAAATTTAATTTTAATTTTTGGCTGTTAGCTGCCAGCGGGTGGTTTTGTTTTTGCTTTTTGCACAGAGTGACAAGAGCGCAAGCAAAACACCAGCACATTTAGATGGCTATCCTCTTTTCCTCGGGTTATTTGGAGGTGACAGCAGTTTATATTTCTTTTTAAAATGGGAAATATCTTTGACTGATTAGCTCAACCTAGAAAGAACAGTAAAATATTTATCTAAAGCGTGTTTAGAGACCATGTACAAATGAGTAACAGTCATTCATTGTGATATAGCACTCTAGTGCAGATTTGCAAAGTTTTAGCATACAATCTCAGTTGAATATAGAAAGATTGCAATAACTGCCAGAAAAACTCTGTAGAATACACTGAAAATATAGTAAGATAGCATAACTGTATATTTGTCTATAATGGCAATGTTTTTAATGATTGTCTGATCTTTCCTTATTTATAGCACTCTAGTAGTTTTTACTCTTTTTCTTTTTCCACAATGGCATCTTTTCTATCCATGTGGCTGCATCGGGCTCTGCAGCTTTATCTGTGATTTCAGCTGGGCTATTTTCAGCTGAAGAATTCTCTTCTCTCGCTGGTGGGTCTTCTTTATTCTGTCCATTTCCATTGCGAGTGATATGTTCGCATCGTCTATTTGCTTTGATCGGTGGAGCATGCTTATCTCCTCTCTCTGCTGCTGTATAAGGGCATCGCCCTCTGCAAGGTGGTCTAGAAGGACTGCTGTTTCCATGGAGGGCTTTATATCCTCTGAAAGTATCCTCTCCTGCTGCATCAAATGGCTTACTGACTCTGATAAGACAGACAGCCTTTCCATCTGTTCTTCTTTTGCTGTTTTCAGCTCCAAAAGTATGTCTGCTAGTTGATTTTTTGTGTTTTTCATATTCACATTCTCTACTTCTCGTGATTGGTATGCTATTTGCTCTATTATGCACTCTGCGTCTTTCATAACTGTTTTTATCTCCTGCACTTTTATTTTTGCTGTTTTTACATTTTCAAATATCTCCTCTATCTTCGAGTGAATTTGCACTCTATCCTCCCTCCTTACTTTTGGCTTCTGTGCTGGCTTTATCTCTATATTCCTGGCTCTGCTGGCCAGTGCCAGTGTGGAGATAGTCTCATCAATGCAGCTGGGCACAGGAGATACGGCACAAATAATAACCGTTTTAGCTGGCCCAGCAAGCGATGGCTGTAGTATTCGGGTCAGCTTTGCGTCTCTGTACGGAATGTGCGCCTGTTTTTTCGATAGTTTGGAAATTACGCTGGTAAGCGCCAGAAGACTCTTGTTGATGCTGGCTCCTTCTTTTAGCGTTGCTCCCGACGTATTAGCTGTGCTAACTCGCTCTGATCCGGCTAGATCCACAAAGACAAGCGATGTTTTTTTTCCTTGTTTTTTTATCGTTATTTTCAGTATTGTGTGGCTTCTGCTGCTTTCTCTGTTCATTCTTGTGGCTGAGACTTTTCTTATGCTGTTTCCTTTTGCGAACAAATCGAAGGCTTCTTCTTTTGTCTGAACTTCTATCTCTGCGACATCTTTTATGTACACTTCTCCCTCCGCTGACTCTCTTATCTGCAAGCTCTCTGCAGGATCTCCTAGAAGATCGTATATGTTCTCGTTGTACACCTCGACATACGATAAACTGAACTTGTGATTCTCTTTTTTGCTAAATATCCAATCAAGAGACTTTGGAATTATCCCAGGGTCACTGCGACATATTTCTGCTGTATTTCCTATGGGCTTGCCCCATACATCAGTGTTTCGAGCGTGCTTAAGTGTGCTTATTTTTTCCAGTGAGTTGTCGTGCAATATTCCCTTCATCGTATGCGTTTTTCCAGATGATGTCTGCCCGTATGCTATTAGACACACATTGACATTGTGCAGAGATTCGTCTATTGTGCTGTTAAGATGCGAAAAGAGGTCGTCGTTCTTGCTATCTTCTCCAAAAACCCAATCAAAAAGAAGGGTTTGCGCAGAGACCTCTTGGCTGCTGTTATTCAAGTGCTGTATCACGCCTTTGTTTCCTATTTTATGCCACGCCTGCTGGATGCCTCTGCTCCTTTCGCTAACGGAAAGAGGACGTATTCTTATTATTGCCTCCACTTTATTCATAAAAAACTAATTACAAAATTACTTACTCTCTGTAATGTCTTATAACGAAGTGCAGTAGAACAGTAAAAAGCATAATAAAAAAACTCAGAAAAAAGAGAAAGAAAACCATCCGATGTACAATATATAAGAGTTTTATGCAATTACAGGAAGAACAAAAACAAGAAGTCTTTAAGCATTTATAGGTACAGTGAACATACACAGGAGGAGAATGCATGGTAAAATGCCAGCTAAATAGGATTAAACCACTAGAGCTTTTTTAAATGCGAGAATAGTACTTGTTACCATGGCGAATGGGTATAGAGGCATTCTTTTGCACTGATTACAAATAGATGTGTGTGGGTAGACGGCAAAGTGGAGAGATCACAAACACTTTATTTAAAACAATATTTATTCTATGGATTCTATTTAGTTTGGCAGTGGATAAACATTGCCTGGGTTTGAATGTATTATCAGACACTCTACTATCTCAGTCGTAAAAATTAATCAGATCTTTAACCGCCCACTTTTCGTACGTAGAGTCTGGCAGTCTTCTGAGGACTATCAAGGGCGTCTTTTTTTCTTTTAGCTCTTTTTTTGCAATCTCCACGGGATCTGTTTCGTCTCCGTACTCCACCATAATAGGCGCAGACATGCTTATCTGCTGCGCTCTTATTCCCAGTATCTTTGCTCTTTCAAACTTTGTCATGATGGGCGATGTAAACCGTTTTTCAGCTTCAATTTCCGGCTGTTTTGCAATGCCCTCGGGATCAGCAGTTTCCAATAAAACTTCTTCGTTGTGCTCTTCAAATGTTTTATCGTCGCTTCCGTAGCTCTCTCTGCTCTCTTGGTCAGACATCGTAAATTTTTTACAATTTCATTTATTTTTATGCGTGTTGGTAATCTGCTGAACAGAGCGCAGACAGAAAAGATACAGGAATCACGCGATGCGCTGCACCAGCTGGAAAAGCTGATAGTAGAAGGAGAAACAGCCGATGTTTTCAAAGATTTTTGCGAATGCATAAGCATAATAATAGGCTGCAAAAAGGGCGAAATACCCAAGAGTCTTCTGCAATTTATGAGTGAGCTAATGAAGAAACTAAAGCATATGAAAATTGGTCGAAACTTTATTCATAATCTCATTAAGTATTTAGTTCGCGGCGTAGACTCTAAGCTAAAACACGTGCGGTACAACAGCCTCTCTCTTCTCAGAAGCTGCATAGAGCACCTGGACAGCATCAGTCCCAGGCTGTGGGAGGTGGTGAAAATAAAAATAGGAGAAAAGCTATTTGACAAAGAGATAACAGTGCGGCTTCAGGCAGTTCACATAGCTGCAAAGTACCAGGAAACAGCCATAGAAGGAGGTCTGCACTTCTATCGCCTCTTCAAGGATCTTCTCAGGTACGATGCATCAGCTGACGTACGAAAGCTTGTTCTCCAGTACATTGTAGTGAACAAAACCACGCTTCCCGCCATTATCACTCGGTGCGGAGACAGCAATGATGCAGTTCGCATGGTCTTTGTGGTGAGCAAGCTGTCTCTCATTCCCTGGGATGACAGTTTAACGCTGGAGCAGAGATCAACACTGTTGCAGACTCTGGAGGAGGAGAGAGACGAAGAAATAAGAAAAAGGTTCTTGGAAAGAATTGAAATAATTTTTGAAGAATCTTTTAACGGAAAGTACGAACTATTCACAGACGCGTTTTATCTGGAAAACCGAAACAACAAGTCTCTGGAGCGGGTTTTAAAAGAGCTAATGAAGAGGTACGAATATGCAGATGGATTCAATGAGGAGTTCCTGGAAAGAGCCACCCCATCGCTGCTATTTCTTATGTGGGTTTCACTGGAGTACATTGACGGTGACAGAGGACGCGACAATATAACGCTTCCTGATATGGCGGTTTTACTGAAATCAATTGCAGAGGCGTCTTGTTCTGTGGGCGCAGGAGACCAGTATGGAGGCACGCTTGCGCATGCACTGTTTGCGCTGCTAGAGTACTACGATATATTCCAAAGCTCCGAAAGAAACCTCCTTACCAAATGTGCTTTATACATTCTATCACAGCCAGCTGTTTTACTGCCGGGTGTAGTAGAATCCGTTTGTAAGATGATTATTAAGGCATGCAGTGGGTCAGAGAGTGACAAAATATACGTCAAAGCTCTTTCAATAGGAGAGGAAAGAACACAGATACTTTTTGCAGAGGCTCTTCTCAGATCAAAAGGCTTTTCGTGCAGTAAGTTTAAGTCCATTTTTGAAATGATCGAAGGAAAAATCAAAAACACAATATACTCCAACGATGCTGACATAAAAGAGTACAGCATTAAAATACTTGTGCTATGTGCTGCTGAAAAGAACGAATGCGATGAGGCATTAGATGTGCTTATCAAACTGGCAAAACAAAACTGGCAAAGTGCTTTTTGTGCCCTGGTAGATCTTTCTATTATTTTTAAAGACAGAAAAGATGTTTTCAATACCACCTTTGAAATTGTAAAAACTACCCAGTTCTCACTTCGCGACAAATCAATAACAAAGCTGCTTTTGTCTGATCTGCCCACAGAGGAGCAGGCACAGGAGCTGATAGAAGAAGTGGTGCGAAGGTTTTATTCAGAGGAAACTAACTTGGAGGACGCGCAGTATTTGCATGTTTTTTTCTACGAGTATTTCAGAAGGAAGCACTGGGTTGTTTTCACAGTTTACAAAAATGTCATTTCAAAGATAAAACACTGGAAGGTCTTCAATGATCAGATTATTTACTGGTTTGAGAGCAGAGTGGATTTGGCGTACAAAGAAAGCGATCTGCTGCTTATTGTGCTCTCCGTGTCATTGAAGGCATCGAAGGCAAACAGTGCGCCAGAGTCCACACACAAAGAAAAAAAAGAAATACTTCAAAGACATTTAGACCTACTCAGCAAAGTAACTGGATTGAAATATACACTTACTGAAGAAGAAGCCCAAAAGGCAATAGAGCTATCCAGTGCGCTAAGCAAGCAGACAGTTAAAATAATGCCAGACAACGATGTGGTGAAGAACATACTATTCGATCTTATTAGCAGAGAATAAAACAATAAATAGTTCTGTAATTTAATTACCATCTGTATAGTGTATGCCATTCTGTACCATTTACACTGTTTCACACCTTTGCTCCTTCGTCAATGCTCTTGCTAAGTTTTCTAGTAAACATCCTAGTAGACAAACTAGTTTTTCAATTGGTACAAAAGATGTACTTAATCCTGCAAAGTCTAAAAGTAAAAAAGTTTTCCATTTTTCTAAACAAGACACTTTGTATTCAAAAACTTAAATAAGTATAATTTGTACTGTAAAAAAGTTTAGTACATGGGCACCGAATAGTTTTCCAACGTTGTGAGTTTTGGAAAGTCCACTACTTAGACAGACTCAATAAATAAGTACAACAGTCTGTTATTAGTAGATCGAAAGCAGTAAGTACTATTATTATTGAAAATGTAATGAAGAGAAGAGCAGTTAGTTGAATTTAGAACAATATTGTTTTTATTTTCTTTTATAGGGAAAGGATGTTATATTCATCATAGCCAAGATATAAATAAATAATACCAGACAATAGTAATAACCCTATAACTATTATAAAGACTGCTATCAAAATAAGCATACAATGGCACCAGCCAATAAATTCATTAAATGAAGCTTTAAGCTTTCTTAATTCAGGTGTATCGTAACCTATATATACTTCATATCTGCTTTCTCTACTACTATCCATATTCTCTGAATTTCTATTTCTATCATTGTCTGCATAATTGTTCATAGTTCCATGATTAAACTTTTCTTAAATATTTCTCGGGTTATATCACCAGCAAATATTGAT